AAATCAAGCTTGACTAACAAAGAGGCAGAAAAGTGCAGTCAACGCAGTCATACGTCGGTAAATTCCTCTGTGAGCCAATCATGAAATGAATTCGTGGCGTATTAATATAATAATCATTTGTAAGAATCGGTTAAATTAACTACTCTAATATTATTTGTTTGTTTCGAAGCTATGCACAAGCTACACAATGAGCTATCTGTGCTCTGACCAACACGGGCATCAAAACCCGGTTTCTATCGTTGTAAGTTCGCAGACATGCCGCTATGCTACTGGGAGACAACTTCTAATATATAGAAAAGTCAGTGCGTTTTGGCAACACTACGTTCCAGCAATGGCTTTTATTTGATGTTGCTTAGCAACAAGCGTATAACCTAATATTGTTGTTAGTCTGTGTACTGAAAGTATAAAATGAAATGTATAGACAACAAAACATGAAAAATAATTTGTTGATTTTTTTATTTAGTTTCCGTTGATTAAAGAGGTTTGTTTGTCTATTAAAAACGTTGGTGATATAGCAGAAAATAGCTTAATTCAGAAACGATTTAAGTTTAAAATTGAATCGATATTTTTGCTTTTATGATAAATTTTATACACTTAACTCTAGGCTAGGTGATCCACACTACGTCTTTACTTTAGGCTCATTATACCAACACCCACTACACTTATAAGGTTTCACGGCACCCACCCACCCCCTCACGGGCCCCTTGCACCCTCGTCATTAATTTTAACGGGCAGACAGTAATCGAACTATTCTATCTGGATAAATTAATTTAGACTTTTATGACTACTCCCATTTCGAGAAATCAAGCGTGACGTGACGTGACACAAATGGCTTTTTATATATAGGTTAGATGACTAATGTTTCTGGATATTCAGGCAAAACTAAACAATACATTAAATATCCAGATATTGCATCCGCAATGAAACAAGTACCTCATGGAATGGCCTTCCAGTGCCACATCCACCAGCGAATTGGGAAACAGAAGAATTATCTTCATCCTCTTCATCTAGTAATTCTATTCCTGTGGCACCTCAACATAAACTACCTCATATGATCACCCAAAAAGAGCTAAATGATCTGATTAATGACTTGTGTCTATCAAAGTGCTATGGGGAACTTCTTGGCTCTCGTTTACAGCAATGGAATTTATTAGCTTCAGGAACAAGAGTTTCGGTTTACCAAAGTCACCATCCAAGTCTTGCTTCTCACTACAGCATGCAAGATACTTTGTATTTCTCTACAAATGTTGACGCACTAATGGAAGAATTAGATACTGAACATCATCCTCGAGAATGGAGACTTTTTCATCGACTCACTAAAGTTAGTCTGAAAGCTGTACTTTTTGTAGAATGGGAACACTAAGCCATCGATTCCTGATGCTCATACTGTGAACATGACAGAACTTATCAATGCATGCAGATTATACATTCTTAAATGCAATTTGAAATGTATAAATAAAGTTATTAAAGAAAAAATTATTTTCACGATATATAAAAATGTTTTGAACAACACTATCATAACTCAAAAACTAGAGGTAATCAGTAATTTTCAACATGATTTTTAGAATCAGAATCGTCAAATTACTCAGAACCAGCTGCATTTTCCTAGTAGCAGAGGATTTTTTGTTGTTGTTACACATTATTATTCCCTTGTGATGACAATAAAATGTATTATATTGTTTTGTGGTGTAAGTATTCACATATTTATGTTCACATGTTTTAGCTATACAGTATTATTTACTTGTGATGACAATAAAATGTATT